ATTTAAAATAGTTAATGTTGTTCTTTGTAGAAAGTAGAAGCCACGATTAAACTTTGCACAGTAATCTCACTCGACGGGTAAGCGAACCCAAGAAATACGGCTTACCGGTCGGCTGCTCTACCGAGGATTGATGAACAGGGGCGCAATTATATATATATATATATATATATATATGTATATATATATATGACTTCTGCTTGGTACGCGACGTATTTCTAATAAGCTCACAGCATCTGTCCTGGTGCAGCAGATTGGCTCAATCACTCGTCACTTCCCAATGAACCGAAGTATCTGTCCTTATGTTCAAAGGGCCATAGTAAATGTAGATTATTGGTGGTTTTGTGAGCAGGGCAAGTGTTCTACGAAACTTACACTACTCACAAAACCACCACTAATCTACATTTAACATGACCCTTTGAATATCAAAAGGACAGATTCTTCGGTTCACTGGGAAGTGACGAGTGAGTGAGCCAATCTGCAACATCGGGAGAGATACTATAAGCTTATTGGCAATACGTAGCGTAACAGGCAAACGTCATGTATTAATTTGCGCCCCTGATCGTCATTCCTCGGTATTTCAGTAAGTATGGCATCCAACCGGTAATCCGTATGTCCTGGGTTCGATTTCTCGTCAAGACAGATTATTGTGCAAAGTTAACTCGTGGCTTCTAATTTCCATAAAACTTACACTGCTCACAAAACCACCAAGAATCTAACGTAGTTTTGATTATCCTTACAGCTTACCTTGTTTGGAATAATTTGGATGCAATATAATTCAACCACCTAATAAATTATAGTCATTTCTTAATGAACTGCGTCAACCGCACATAAGTATTGCATTTCTGGTGAACATATGAAACCAGGCTATCAGTTAGTAGTATGTAAGTCCCTGTGATCCCGATAATTGTTCGGGTAAATTGAGGCAGATATCACTTTAGGGTTTTTTAAAATAAGCCTCCATTTTTGCCTAGCAAAGGCAGCTGTTATGACAGAGAGCGGATAATCAAAGGAGAGGCCAGATAGACTGTAAAAATTGCTATCCGTTTACCAGCTTTACATCAAAACGTTTATTGAAATGATTTGTTGCTTATGCTGGGTATTAAACGCAATGTTACGCAGTGTATGGAATTGCCAATTACTACGAAGCCAGAGACAGCGACAAACCTTGAAATAGTTATTTCACCTAAGGAAAAGACGTTTTTCTGCAGCAATAAATCGAAATAGGATATGATAAAACATGGGTGAAAACAACTAGCAAAGTAAGATATCCATAATGAAATGTACTATAAGGCCTACTTTAAAAATGGTAAAATAGTATTCTCCGACAAATTAAATAAGAACAATTCTGTGTCATATAGTATTTGTCTAAATAAAGAAAAAAACATTTAGCTGTTCTATAAATAATGCACAAATGAGGCTCAACACTTCAATATCTTCAATATATTTTTCAACCGTTTTACATATACAGTGATTTCAAACTTCAGAGTATAATTGTCCTTTTGACCACAATCTAAATTTCAATGCATAAAAGTGACAGATGCAGTTTAGTAAGAAATTCAAACCAGTGGCTTTCAGATTATATTAGGCCGAACCCGCAATAAGGATAATTGCATTCCGCTGATATATGAAACAAAAAAATTATATTTGGTTGATCTTCCGCGATCCAGCAATTGAAACTTTAAAAAGTTGTTATAAGAATCTATCATGTGCAAACTTTTCGAGGTTGTATGAGCCTAGTAAGTAGTTTTACGCCACAAAAATGAATACTTTACCGAAATAGCTTTCAACTATACTTCACAATTCAAGCCGTTTTTAACGTAGGACTTTTTAATGCATTTTAAATCAAACGACGGTGTAAATTACAGATAGTGCGAATAATCTGCCAACGTGTTCATGGAAAAAGCAAAACGTTCGACCATGTATTTCACTGAAGTTCATATAAACTCACAGGTAAATAAAGTCAATGTATAATATAGAAAAAAACATTGCAACTTTGGTGTCACATTTTAGGTTGTCCATCCATATCATCCAAACCATACAAGCGCATTTGATAAAAGATGTATTTGAGTTCCGGCAGCAATACACAAACAAATTAATTAGTATGTATTATAAATAGACAATCGACGTTTTCAAAACCGAGTTTTATGCATTTCACTTTTTGCTTCAAGTTAGAAACTGAATATTTTAAACTAATTTCAAAGATGGGAATATCGTACGGAGCTTTCCAAAGCTTAACATAATTACTTTAAGGATGTGTATTCTAACACTTAAAAGCTCTTATATTTATGACCAAAACGGTTTTCGTCTAATGGTTTATTAATTTCTAACTGTTGCATTAGAATAATTTTTCTTTCCAGCAGTGTCCATGTCCAACAACGTTTTATATTTATAAAACTTCGTAAACAACCAGTTTCTGTTTCAGATCTTCCATACTAATAGAAGGAAAAATATGCGCTAATATCAAGATACAATAAGACAAACGGCAGCCCATCACCTTGCTTATTCTGAGGAGTGCTATCATACTTGTTATATTTTGACCGCTTTCTTCGAAATATGTGGGTTAAAACTCATAAATCAAAGTGAAAACCTAATGGAATTGTATGTATTTTACCTTATTTTACAGGTTCGTTTAATAATAACCGACCTTCATGTTAAAATACTAAAAGCGACATTTGTCATGCAAAATTGTAGAGAAAGTTAGTCATAGACGTACTCAAGATTAGCTAAGATTAGGCTAATGCTGAAACGGGTTTTTATGTTCGTGTATAATGTCAAATTTTGTTGGTCCCGGAAAGAAACACGTACGGCGTTTCAAGGCAAACAACTATTTTTAATTTATTCCCTTATCAGCGGTAGATTGGGAAGCACACCTGAATATTCAGCCACGCTTTGCTGTGATTCAAACACCACCTATGACATTGCTTTGCCGCTTCCAAAGGGATTCCATTTTGTGGTTTCTTGGATTCAAAGCTGTGAAAGCAGAACACTAGTAACAGTGGTTTACTAACGCAAGAAAGTAGCTGTATTGCGCTTATGGTTTCACTCTCGGTTACACGAATAAAAGACGTATTTATTGTGACTCAGTGTAACTTTAATAATGTGGCATCAGTTCCGACGAACCCAGCTTATTATGTTTATACGATATAAGAGCCAACATCATAAGCGAGAGCATGTCTTGATGTAGCAATGGATGATTTGCGCCAGTGTTTGAATAAAGCGTGGCACATTTTTATGTACTTAGCAGCACAATTTTCATATATTCTATCAGCGCAATTTGTTCGCTTGTCACTTACGAATTAATACCCGCCCTGTTTGTTAGCTTTGGTTCCATAAAACTACATGCTTGGTTGCTGTTATCGGTAGGTTGTTGGCTTGAGACAAAAAATAAGTTCATCGAATAGAAATGATGTGTTTTGAGACCATAATTGTAAAACCACACGTAGATAGCCTCTTAAAGTTACTTCATCTTGATACCGCTCATGCATTCAACGTATTTATTTATCATTAATCAATCCGTGCTGGTAGCAATTTTGTGTACATACAACGGTAACCCAGCTTTGTAAAATCGGGTGTAGGCTACTGCTCGAAAAAGTTAAACACTTATTTCGACAAGCATATTGTAAGTTCATTCTCTTAGCGATCCAAAATAATGTTCTAATATTGTGATTTTATTGAAAAACTTTCGATGCGATGTTAATCGCTATCCATCTGAGATAATGCCTCCAAGCTTTCCTACACAACGTTAACGTTATAATAGCGCCATCAGTGAAAATTTAGTTTTAGTTTTCGCTCAAGTGAGCTCACGCAATTAAGATTAGCATCTTCTCACAAATTAGGTCAGAACCACTAATTAACTTTGGTTTGTTCAGAGCGTAATGTAATACTTTATTTTGGTCTATAATTTATTTCACGAGTTATTCCACACGCCCAGGAAGACAGACAGTTTTCAAGCTAGAATACACCCCTACGCAAAACTTGAACAAAGCGAACATGATTTAACTTTATCGATCAGAATATCGCATTGTATTTACTGATATTACATGCAGCGTGCTAATTAGTAGTGAATATTAAATCTAAAACAAACATTAATGCTGGTAACAGTCTCTTTATTTTGAGCGGTTAGTTTAGCATTAAATTTCTGTATAATTACATATCCTGTTTCGAAAGTTTTAGCTATTCAGCAGACTGTCAAATATAAACTTGAAAAATGCCTTCATAATGACACATTTTGTGGCCAACCAGAATTTCTCAGATTGAAGAATCAAAACATGCAACTAATCCGTTTTTCTTTGCATAAATGCTTCAGAGTATTCAGCAAACTTTTCATCTTCTTTCCACAAGCTTAATCTAGAACATGCAACTATAAAATCACATAAACCTTTTTAAAAAGAGGAAAGATTTGTATTCGAAATGCGTAGCAAAACTGGACCTTATTGTAATTAGGTAGTCTTGCAAGGTATCTGTTCCTTTATTAATGAAAATACTATCTAATCCGCAGTTTAAATCGCAAGGTGCACAAGTACTTTCGTTAGAATTGAAAACATACCAAACTTATCATGTTCGAAGAAAATCACCCAGTTTTGTCTCACTCGACGCGAGTATTTATTGCAAAATTGCACTGTGATACTTATTAATTTAACTTCGAGTGCATTAAACCATGATGTTCTGAGGTTACATTATGTTAAAATGGAAAATATTGAGCGGGGCCCAAAATACGCTAGATCCATTTAAAGATACAAATAAGCATCATAAGCCTTTGTTTCATTAAAACAATCCTACATGTATAAAATGCCAGAAAATGCTCTTATTGTTAAAATGTAAAGTTACCAAATTACATTCTATACTTGCAAAGCAAATTTGTCTTAAATGCTGGTTAACACGTGGATGGTAAAAAGCAGTGAATGAAACAACTTATACATATTAATACAGCTTATTTTACCGGTTTAATATTCACCTTGTGTGGTTTGGCTAATCTTACGGCTTAATTCTTTTTATTACAGATTTGCCTGCGTGTTCATTTGTCTCCAACTGAGTGTGCTATCTACTTTGAAGGATTATGAAAAAATGGCTGGTATTACTTTATTTTATTTGGTAAGTCTATGAGACCTTGTTTATATTATTCATTGAGTAGTCGCGAGTGCAACCAATGGATGCCAAGTTATAGCTGCTAGTGATAGCATACTTAAGGATGAGTGCTTTCTACATACAGTTAAACCATCCGATGCTCAAACTGCTGTATTATGCTTTCCATCCCCGTATTATGGTTCGCATGTGTTTTTCAAAATCAGAAGCCTTTGGACTTGCATTTTGCAGGCTGTTGCAAATCTTTAAATCAATTTCCCGTGTGCAATCTAAAGTAGGTATTAAGGTGGTGCGTGGTGCTTTTGGAATGACCCAATAACCCAAAATAACTATGACTATAATCATTATTGCATAAAATTTGGAAAGAAAAATTATTGTGGAACATGGTGTATTTACCTTAATTTTGTTTCGAACTGTAATTAACCTGCCAAATTCCCTAAAATTATTTCCTTAGAAAGCATTGTAATCGTGACGTGAAATGGCAAATTAAGGTCACTGACTGTGTTGAACTTTAACGCGTTGCTGTGGCTGCAATTTGATACGGGTTGCTCAATCATTCCTACCGTATTTGCACACGTAGTTTCGAACTTGTGGTAAAATTTGACAAAAAGATGTCACACGAGGAATCGCACTCTGACACATGAATCAAAGCGGGGGGCATAAACGTCAAACCGAGCAAATCAACGCAAGAGCAAATGGGCAGTTAATGTCAATCAATGTTACGGGGCTGTTCAATCAGATCGCGCGCATGTGACATCCAATCAAGTGGCCGTTGAACTCAGATTTGTTGTTGTGGTTTTCGAATAACGATCGGCTGATCGGTTTTATCCGTTTGATTGTTGTTTGTCTACTCGTGCTCTTCCGTAAAACTCCCTCCTCCTCAGATGTTGGTGTGTCGTTTAAATGACACCGTCGTAAACCTTGTGTTTTAGGACTGTGCCAACCGAAAACAGTACGGCATTTCACACTGTAAGATGACGAACTTCTTGAGATCGTAATGTACCAACAATAGTGAAAAGGCAAGAACAAGATTTGCTACCTTCAATTCTTGGTCATGTCTATCACCATGACAACTTGGAGTCTTTATTTAACAAGTCGTGTATTTGCTCTAAATGAAGAAATGTTGGGTGGGAAACGAGGATAATGCGATAAAATTCCAAGGAACCAACAAAGCTGTGCTACGTTACGCAGGAGGATGCGCGATTATTAAGTTGTAATTTGTCTTCTCATACAGTTAAACTCTGTTTATTCAGATGATAATTAAGTTAGTCAACGGAATAAACCATAGAAGCATATCTGGAGCCTTTCAGACGTAAACTCTTCTCAAACAGTTTATGTAACACCTGATCCAACCTGCGCAGGTGCTTCTCTTTCATGTGTCCTGTAATTAATATTTCATCGGGGTATGCACGGTGTTAAAATATTACTCACGATGTTGTCAATTATTCTTCAGATATAACTTGGGCTGAATCAATCTCATAAGCAGACAAGGGCGTTCTAATTTTAATAAGATAGCAAAAGGCTTCTTCTAATTTCTTCTGGGAATATTCGTTGCTTAAATCCAGTTTGGAAAACTTGACCCCACCAGAGAAAGTGGCACACAAATCCTCGATTTTAGGTAGCAGATATCAGTCTATGATTTCGTCTATAGTTATTGTTAGTTTATAACCACCACAACTACGTACCTTGCCGTCCGGTTTAAGCAGAGAGACTATCGTTGGCGTCATTCAGCATGTTGAAATAACATAATTATACCTTTCTGCTTGACCGTTTTAGCTCTTCTTCCACCTTGGACCGTAAGGAGTAAAGCAATGTACTGGCTTTAAACTATTTAGCTATACTTGAATCTATCATAATAATCATTGCTTAAACATTGCTGAGTTCTCCCAACTGGTGTTACAGAACATGTCTGAATATTGCTTAAGAATCGAATTCACGCGTTCTCCCATAGGCATGGACGGTTTTTAATAGTTGTGGCAACTGTTTCATCAAATCACGATCCAGTATAATGATCAGAGCACATAGCACAGAATGATGTACTAGATTATGTAATAAACCCTGGTGTTTACCTCGTATCTGACACTTTCCCAATAAGTCAACCACTACTTCCGTATAGGTTTTGGGATCAACAACACTACGCCGTAGATTATGCAATACTGAAGGTGCGTTTCTTCTAAGCATATTCACAGTGGAACACGTGTCCAATTCAAAAAACACAGGTTGGCCATTTACAAGAACATTGACCCTATACGGAGATACTCGCGTCACATGGGAGATATTTGCAATTGTATGTTTCACAAAATTCTACTAGGTATCCTTGCAATCATCGTAGTCTTGCTTCAACAACTTAATCAAAATGTTTGACCTTGAAAAACAAAACACACATATCAAGTGGTCAATTTTTATCAATTCCTGCCCCCTATGCTAATGAGACGGTACTGCGTGAGGGAAGTGTACTGATCACGGCATCTATAGCAGACGAACTTCTGTAACTTATTTCCGGAGGGAAAATGCGAAGCCAACTTATTTACGCACTCCGTAGGCTGAAAAGAGTGGAATGTTGATAACTCAATTTTCAGGTCTTCTGTCTGACGTACGGAAACGCAGTCTGCTTCCCGTAAACTGGTTTACTCTTTTCGTAATAGTAAATTTTCTCTAGCATTATCATTTATAACCACTGAATCTGCATGACTTCTTCAACCCGCGTTAAGAGAATTGATTGTCGGCATTCTGGTATAACTTGATGAATATGAGCAAAGAAATCAATTACGCTTTTGTCCTTGTTGCTGCTATAATGTAAAGAACAGTTAAAGAGCGGGTACTACATCTTGCTAAATTTTGCCATAGCCCCTCGAACAACTGGATCACATGTACGCAAATGTGTTTAACCATTATGTCCATGGCGTCAGAATGTCGTTGTCCTTCTGAACCAAGTGCTTAGCACTTTCCAGTGTACATCAGGTAGCTCAGTTGAAGTGTTTAACCCGGGTAAAATACCCATTTGATGTTGAAAAGATGTCATCTACTGCATCCATGACTGTAAGGAGGGCTTTTCCGAGCCATCAGGCCACAGAAATGACAGCCCGCCGGGAGATTATTAACACTTATCTCCATCCTAATTCATAACGCCAAACTTTTCCTATTTCTTAGTTGGATACATAGTTTCGAACTCGCATTGAGAAGGCATTAGCGAATGACAAATGTCAAGTGGCCTCCTGACAAAAGAATCGAAGCGGTGGGCATAAACGGAAAATTGAGCTAATAACAGCGAAAACTATCGAGCAGTTAGTATTTAGCAATCTGACGAGGCTGTCCAATTAGATTGAGCGTGTATTTATCAGAGTAACGTCAGTATGCGTGTTAGAAACTATTAGTTTTTCCTGAAGCTGATATTAATTAATAAACTTACTTATCTATCGGCAAGGCAACGGAACAACACTATATCACATGTTTGATTTTAAATAATCGTTTTGCGTGTTTTAAAATGTTATGCACAATTGCTTATAATCTAAAACATAAGTTCAATAAAATACAAGAACCTGGAAGATTAAAATGATGTTGGCGTTCTCGACAAAATTGCAGTGATTATATATAACGAACAAAGTAACATCCCTTCAACCTAGTTAAATTTGAAGCTATCTAAGTGACGTGTAGCGACACACTTGTGCATCGCAAGCAATACAAGCACCACTTAAAACACGACGGTTGAGTCGGATAACTGTCCTCAAATTGATCCAATAATTCTAATTTCCTCCAAGCTTGTTGAATCGACAGAAGATTAGAGATCAACGAATTCGTTTGTTTAGGAAGGCGGTCACAACGAGTAGCAAGATACTGCCTCAACCTTAGCACACGGTTTAGGTAACCAATTTAAACAAAGTCTTGCTGCCGTCGCATAAGTGTACCAATGATATAAGTTAATTATTTCACAGATTTACTTATCAACCAGGTAAAACAGCTAATAGGATTAGGTGGGGTTGAATCGAAGTGGGTGGATTCGGTACCTGAAATTGATACTTCGCAGCATCTATACCAAGCAACAGACATAACACTGCGCTCAATCACATCCTGTCTCGAGCAACGGTTAACATGCTACAAACAAAGAGTGTTTGACGTTCGGATCCTGGGGCCCATGGATACTAGCGACCACTCAGTGTTCATAGCTGATATGGAATTCTCTTTGCCGTATTCACAACCGATGGAGCCAGCATACAACTGTTGGAAAAAGGACTTTGATGGTGTAAATTGAGCCGCCAGCCAGCCAGATTGGTCTCTGTCACAAGCTTCATCTGTGGAAGACTTTTGAACACTAATAATAGAGAGCTTAACGTCATTGTGTTCACAGTTCGTACCCTTAAAGTGTAGAACGTTTGGACCGATTAAGCCCCAGCGGTTTGACAAGGAGTATGGAAACATGCCACGGAGGAGGGGGACAGACTTTTATGCAGTTTCCTCTTATCTGGCTCTATCAATGACAACGAAGCTTATAAAAGTCAGCGAAACATCTGTAAGTGAAAAATGGAATAAGCGCCGACGTGTCGAAGAGCAGCTTGCAATCACCGTGAAGACCGCCCCAAAGAGCAGATTTGCTTACGTGAAGCGACTCTTCAAGCCAACTGGTGAACTGCCAGTGTTAGATAGCTCGGACCGACGGTCCCTAAACTCCACGCTGAGCGTGCGCCCGTGTTGAAAACAAACTTTGGTTCTGTATTTGCAAAAGACCCGATGTCTTTTCTGAGCTCAAACATTCGTTTTCAAATAATTTGTTTTGATTTTGCCCATCGATTTGCTGATTCTACTCACACACTTCTATTTAGCATTCGTTGACCCAGCCAAGTCAGCTTGCATTTGATTCATTGCAAATCGTTCGTCTATCTATTTAATTGTAACACGCGTATGTGCAGACAGTTTTTCTATACATGCGCTCCGATGCTGCTCTGGTCTGCCGTTTTATCGAGTTATGACGAATTGACGTCGCGTTTTACCGAACACTTTGCATGCTACTGCTA